TGGGGTTGTTAACCAATATCATAAAACAATATGTGTACTGACTGTTTAATGAGAAACTATTTGTTCTGTAAACCTTCACCTAAAGTACACTAAAAAAAATTTTAAAAAGAAAAAAAATCATTTGGTATTTAAAATCACCTTAAAATCAAGTAAGAATAACAGTGCTAGATCAGAATGACTCTAGAAAAAAGCTTCCCAGATCTATCCCAAAAAATAGAAATATATAATTCATTGTAATTTACCTTGTTGGAAATTTCCAGTTCCCAAGAAGAGATGCTTATTGGCACTAAGACAGTAGAGTCTATATCTAAGTTTCCTTCCAGCATGACGTCCTGAGCCCAGACAATGATGACAGTGGTCCTTATTCTTTCTGTGCCACATTTGAAGCTCACATTGATTTTTCATTTTTAGGCCATCCTTCCTGCTGCAAAAGAAATAATCAAATAATTTTAAAGGTTAAAGATACTGAAAGTGAAGCAAAGGAAAACATATTAGAAATTAAGAGTATAGTGTGTGGCTCGCTGTGGGGCTGAGGCAGGAGGGCTGCTGGGCAGGCAATGGTGGGGGCCGCAGCAGGTGGAGGTGCCTGAGGGCCGGGGCACGGAGGGTCCGGGGGGCTCCGGCGGGACTGCTCTCCCCCAGCCCCTGCTGGCTCGCCCCCGGCTGGGCTACAGGCACTCAGAGCCACAGTCCCCTTCCAGCGGCAGTAGCCACACCAATGCCGGGACTGGGGTGGCCGCACAGCCAGCATCCCATGTTCGGTGGCCCCAGAAAAGTCAGTGTGTAGGCCTCAGCCACCCCAGGCCCAACGTACGTTCTCTCTGGACGCCATCTTCAGCACCTGCCTTCTTAGCCAGTGACCACACGATGCTGATGGGGCCTTCACCTGCTGTAACAATGACAAGGCCATCCAGAACTCCGTCTTGGCAAGAGCTGGAAGACGAGCAGGCCAGCTCCTGCACACACAAGCGCTCTGCGTCCTGGGGCAGAAGAGACCACCGAAAAGACATTACCAAGTTGAAGCAACAGCTGCAGAGGACAAAGCTGAGCCACAGTGGGAAAGAGAAGGAGCGGGGCTCCTCACTCCAAGGGGACCACGCTGCACGGGGAGCTCTGAGGGAGTCTCCTCCCAGCTTCCCTTCAGGGTCCACTGTCCTGCGACTTAGCCCTTGCCTGCAAAGAAGCCTAGAAGGGCTCAACCAAGAGTTGGAGGAGGTGTTTGTGAAGGGGCAAGGTGAAAAGGAGCTGCTAAGGATCCTCAATATCCCCGATGGGCATCGGGCCCCTACCTCTCCCCAGAGCAGCAGCTGCAATCATTCTCTCCTTCCCCTGGAGCCTGGCAACCTGGCCAGCTCTCCCTCCATGCCCCGGCATCCCCCCAGCCATCTGGCTGCACCAGCCACAAGGAACACCGGGGTGCAGTCGAGGACCTGGCATCCATCCCCAGCGACAAGCCTCCTCTCCAGGCCACCCAGCCTTCCTGGAAGAGGGCGGCCCATCTCCAGTCCTTGCCTTTGCCGCTTCCCCTCGGCCCAATCACAGCTATGTCTTCAAACAGGGGTCCCCAGAAGTCTGTGAGAGAGTGCAGGTGTTTGAAGACGTCACATCCACAGGTCCTGATCTGATCTTCCTGACTTCCTGTCCTGACAAGAACAAAGTCCATTTCAACCCGACCAGTTCAGCCTTCTGCCCTGTCAACCTGATGAAGCCCCTCTTCCCCAGCATTGGCTTCATCTTCCGTAACTGCCCCTCAAGCCCAGGGTCTCCCCTTCCCCCGACCAGCCCCAGGCCAACTCCTCGGAAGGATCCAGACGCCTCTAAGGCCTCCCCGCTGCTGTTCGAGCCATGGCAGCGCACCCCACCACCAGACGAGCCTGTGCTTCTCCAGAGCTCCCTGGTGGTCTGAGGTCCCACCCCACCACTGTACAATGGAAACTGGTGCCTTGACGGCAGCCTCCTCCCTAGCCCCCATGAGATGAGGGATAGAGAAGCCCTTCCCTCTCAGCATTTCAGCACTTTCATTTATTGTGTCAGAGCCCTGGTCCTCTTTTTGATGGACACCGGCCCCTCCTCATGTGAGGGGACCTGCCTTCCCTACTAGCAGCTGAGCAGCTCACAACTCACACCTGTGTCCCTGCCACCTCCCTCACTTGGTGCAAAACTCACCCAGAAGGTCTTTGGTACCCCATCCCTAGGCGTGAGTCCAAAGGACTGTACATGAGGCCCTTGTCATTGTCATAAAGCTGGTCATGATTGAAGGAGGGGGGATGCCACAGATCCCCATCCCTCTCCTCCTCCACACACACAGATAAGGAGACCAGAAGATAGATACCCCATCCTCAGCCCCATCCCCATGGCTCCCTCATTGGAGGTGCTCAGCAAAGCACACTAAAGGGCAAAACACTTGACCAGTTCAGCTGCTGGCAGAGGGGGGAACCAAGGGTTTTCCCAAGTGTCATTTTCATCTCGCTTTCACCCTGACTAGATTGTCTTAAGCAGTAGCCCAACCTGCCCAGCCCAGGTGATTGGTAGGGGAGAGGGAGAGCTGGCATTCCTCTGGGTGGCAAGTGGTGACTCTACACCCTCCACTCTTCCAGGTCTGGGTTGGATTAGAAAAACGCCTATTTTTCTTGTATCGATATAGAAACTATTTTCTCCCAAAAACTCTATTTTTGCAGCTGTTCAAAGTTTGTATATTTTCCGTGCTGCAGAGCTTACATAAAAATTAAAGAAAAATGTGAATGTTAAATTTTTCTTATCCTGTGTTTACAGACTGTTTTTTGCAGATCCTGGTGTTAGTAGACCAAATAAATAAATAATTATTCCTAGCAAAAAAGAAATTAAGAGTACAATTTTATGGACAGAAAGCTATACAGAGATTTAAGTACAGTTCAGTGGGGGAAGTGGAAATAGGAACATTTTCTTTTCCTACTAATAAAAACACTAACTGGCTGTTAATATAAATTAAGTTCAACATGGCAAACCACTCTCAGATTTTAATTAAAGGTCAAAACTTTATAAATAACAATATAACTGAAAAAAAATAAAACCAAAGATAAAAGTTCCATGCTATTTTTTGTTTTATAATTTATTTCTTGTTGTTGAGAATATACACAGCAGAACATACACCAACTCAACAATTTCTACATGTACAATTCAGTAACATTGATTACATTCTCTTCAAGTTATTTTTCTTTTTTCTAGAATAATCATTTAGTTCAATAATCCATCCTCCAACTATAATAAACAAGCAGTATCTGGAGAGATTTAAAAGTTATGATTATTCCATGAGGATGAGTTCCACTGCTGCTCTAAAAAGGTTAAAATGATCTTTGGAATCTGTTTCTTTATCTATAAAACAGGAGTAAGACCAACATGCATCCCTACATGCCTAGTGCACGGAACACACAAAACAAAGTAGTGAAAGTTAGAGAGTAGTGAAAGTTAGAGAAAAGACTCTAAGAGGAAAGCACCAGATAAATGTAAGGATTTATTATACAGAGGCCACAGGTCTAACATAAACTTAGAAACACTGCTTCTTCTTGTCTTTTTCTTTACATTCGTCTACTGTTTGCTACCAGCCGTGTCCCTCAAACAAAAACTAGTAAAATCCCACTTATTCAAAAATTCAGCTACTAAAAGCACAACTATTTCCTTTAAATTTGCCCCTAAACTTAAGTGGTCTGGTTTTCAAATCTTTCTGTTGTGTCAGTCCATTACTTAGTCAAGCTTTTTTTTTTAATATTTTATTGTGATTTTGGAGAAAATTTACATAGTAAATTAGGTTCTCCTTTAAGAATTTCTATACATATTATTTAGTGTCATTGGTTACACTTCTCAAAATGTGTCAGCATTCACATTATTTCCATTCTGGTTGTTCTGTTTCCATTAATCTGGCTTCCTTGTCCCCCCCACCCCTTACCTTCTCATCTTTGGTCTAGGTCTAGGGTAAACACTGACCATTAGGTCTCATTTAGATGATTGTTTAGAGGAGCACAGTACTCACAGGTGATATTTATTTTACAAGCCACTCTATCTTTTGGCTGATAGACGACCTCTGGGAGTGGTCTGAGTTCTAAGTTAAAAAAGGATCCCAAAGTGATAGTCTTGGGGGTTCCTCTAGTCTCTATCAGTCCGGTAATTCTGGTCTTTTTTTATTAGGAATTTGAGTTTTGATCTGCTTTTTTTTTCCAATTCTATCTAAGACCATTTATTGTGTCCTGGGTCAGAATGGTCCATAGTGGTAGCCGGGCACCATCCAGTTCTTCTGATCTTAAGGTAGGTGAGGCCATGGTTCTGTATTAGTCCTACAGACTAGTTTCTTCTCTGAGACTTTTTTCCTGCTCTTCCTTATCCTCCAGACATATAGAGACCGACAGCTGAATCGCTTGCGAGCTTTTAACACCCCAGATGTTGCCCACCAAACTAGGATATAGAACATTATCTGTGTGAGCTAGGTTATGCCAATTGACCAAACTGCCCCCCAAGACTATGGTCCTAAGCCCTCAAACCCAGTAACCCAATCCTATGAGGTGTTTGGTTATATCTAGGAAGTATCCATAACTTTGCTGCCTATGTACTTTATTTTATATATGGATATATATGCAACGCAAATATGTATATACAGTTCCCTAAAGAAAACCTATACGTGTGCACCCATACAGTCATATGTGCTTACCTTTACATATAGAAGCATACATATCTACCTATGTAACCACACATACTTTTTTTGGTTATTATTGTTGTTGCAAAAGTGTATACATTGTGGCCTTTACCAAAATCGTCCCTTATATACTTCTTAGTGCCATCTTCTACCCTGGACAAGTTGTGCTGACTTCACCCTTATTTATTGCCTTACTCATCACCAAAACTAACAACTGTCTACTATCTAGAAAGTGATTCTCCCTTCCTCTTCCTCCTATCCCTAGTAACCACCAAAGAATGTTGCTTTCTGTATGTACACCTATTCTTGTCGTTTCATAATAGAGAAATCATACAGTATTTGACCTTTTATAATTGACTTATTTCACTCAGCATACTGCCTTCCAGATTCATCTATGTTATAGTATGTGTTGAGAACTCATCATTATTCTTTATGGCTGCATAGTATTCTATTGTGTGTATGTACTACAATGTGTTTATCCATTCATCTGTTGATGGGCAGTTAGGTTGTTCCCATCTTTTTCCTATTGTGAATAATGCTGCAATGAACATAGGTGGCATATACCTGTTCCTGTCAGCAGTTTTAGTTCTCTAGGATATATACCTAGGAGTGGGACTGCTAGATCATAGGGTATTTATATTTCTAGCTTTTTGAGGAAACTCCATATGGTTTTCCACAGAGGAATGAAACAATTTACAATCCCACCATCAGTGAAGCATGGTTCCAATCTCCCCACAACTTTGTCAGCATTTGTTGTTTTCTGTTTTTTGATCAATGCCATTTTTGGAGGGGTGAGATGGTATCTCACTGTAGTTTTGATTTGCATCTCTCTGATGGCTAATGATCACAAGCATCTCTTTATGGGTTTATTGGCCACGTGAATGTCCTCTTTGGTGACCTGTGTGTTCATGTACTTCACCCATTTTTTTTCCCATAAAAAATTTATACATACATTGTTATGTGGCTCTAATTGTGCTCTCCATACTGTGACAGCACACTCCTCCTTTCCACCCCTGATTCTCCATGTAAATTCAACCAGCTCCTAACCATCTCTGCCTTCCCATCTCACCTCTGGACGGAAGCTGCCCATGTAGTCTCTTGTATCTACTTGAGCTAAAAGGCACACTCCTCATGAGTATCACTTTATGTCCCACAGTCCAGTCCAATCCCTGTCTGAAGAGTTGGCCTCGGAAATTGTTCTGGTTCTGGGCTGATAGAGAATACGGGGGCCGTGTTTTCTGGGGTTCCTCCAGTCTCAATCAGACCATCAAGTCTGGTCTTAATAGAATTTGAGTTCTGCACCCCACTTTCTCC